TGCCACAACTGCAGCGACGATGACGGCAACAAAAATTGTTCTGCTAATGCTTAGCGTGCCTGTGCCGCCGTTTGTTACATACTTTTCCCGGGTGGCGTTTCAATGCGATGCGGATGAAAAGGGTTCAAGAAAAGACTGCGCCAGCAATGAAGACGGGGGCAGTTATTTCATATGCGCCACCTAAAAGTATGCCTTAAGAAATTGCTTGCTTGAAACTTGTCTCGCCTAATGAAGAGCCGTCTGCTCTTGCCGCAGTACATTTCATCCAGGTATTTTTGGCTAAAAATGCTCAAGTGAAAGAGGAATGCGAGCGGCTTCCTTTGCAAATTGTTGAGTGCGTGGAAAGGCAGAGCGCTTTGTTTTGCAGTAGTTAGCACCGAGCTCCTCTCTTATATATATTTTCCCCTCCGGGCACGCACACATACATACAGGTGCATTCATAGAGCGACCGCACTCGATGCCAATAAATCCTCGGCAATCGCACTCAAAAATCAAAAGATACAAGCCGGATAGGGAGACAGGCGAACATAAAATGCCAATTTCTAGTTGCCAAATGGTTATTGCCACAACAGCAGCAACTGCGAGAGCAGAGGCTACAAAAGTAACAAATTTACCACACACCGATACATGCAGAAAACGGCCAATGCATTACGTATATCCATATCAACACACACACACACACACACACATGCACACTAGTGCCTTACCCGCGGTCGCTGCAGTAGGTAAAGTTAAGTGGAGCAACAGCGAGCACAGAAAATAAAAACGCCAAACAGAAGGCAATTTGCAGCGCCAGCACAGGTAAGAGAGTGAATGACTTCGAGATACCCTATAGCACAATATGAGTTCCTAGTTAGATCATCCTGCCTGCTCAGAGGCCGAATACACTCAAAGAAAATGAGCTGCGCTGCTGGGGCAAATGTTTATTGTTCGGCTTTGCCTTGCACAGTCTTTAGCACTACATGAAATTAATAATTGTGCGTGGCATGCGACTGGGCGAGTGCATAATGCAGAGCAGCAAGCAGATATTTATTCGTTGCAGTCCGTCTGATAGAGGCTGGGCAAGACGGGTAGCAGCGCAGCACTTAGAAGGCATAAAATTTATAAATTACTATGCTGCACCATAATAAATTTCAGTTTGCGTAAAAACGCAAAATTTATATACACCATGCAGCCTAGTGTGGGGAGGGGCTCAACTGGACTGTGAGTGGACTGAAAAACCCATTATGAATGAATTTAGTAGCAGCAGCAGCAGCAGCAGCAGCAGCACAAAAACCAAAACGTGCTAGCACATTTCGTCGTATTTATACAAATTTAAAGCATTCACCCAACATGCGGCGGGTGGGCGAGTACTCAAAATTTACGAGTATTTCCATGGCTGCCAGCGACGATAAACCAAACCAGTCGAAAGCAATAACGACGAGCCAATGCCAATAGACAGCGGACGGCGGGCCAGGACGATCGCAAAGGACTAAACATGACTAGACTACTTGTGCACTATAGCATCGGCTGGAAGTTAGTTGAAGGACACACACAACCGGATGCCGCTTGCCCAGTCGCTAGACAAAGGGGCGTGTCGGGCATAGGCAATGTGGCAGTCCGGCAGTCCAGTTGGCAGTTGGCAGTTGGCAGTTGCTAGTCGTCGGTCGTCGGTGTCTGGCCTTTGGCCGCTTCTGCTGCTTGGTCTCTGTCCCGGCCGGTCAATGACAGCTAAAGTTTTTCAAACTAACCTCGAAACGATAAAAAATTAAAGCAACAGTAAATGAGAGACGTACAAGCAGACAGATAGACAAACGGACAGAGAGACGGACAGACGAGACAGAGGAGGAGGCAAGAGTATTTACTGCATCAAAATGCCGCAATGGGCTGTTATTATAATGAAAACGAAACAGAGAACCTGGCGCAGTAAAACCGGCAATAAGTAGTTGCCTTTGTGGCGGACGGAGTGCCCCTAACGGTTGCATAACCAACGTCAAGTTGCCATTAATTTTCAAGTGCAATGTCTGTATTCATATCCCTCGTCCCTAGGGCTCTGGCTTTCAATATGCAAGCCGCACACAAAAGTATGCTACGAAATTAGTTGATTTACAGAAAGCAGTTCTACACAATTCTGCGTTTCTCTTCCCTTATGCTGTGATATGAACAACTTTTAATATAGACCAGAAACAAGATTTAAGCTAGAAGTAAGTGACGTTCCTTTATTTAACCCAAGCTGTCTCATCTTAGGGCAATTTTAAAGCTTTAAGCGGCTCTCCTGAGCTCACTCAGCGTGTTCAAGACTGTAAAACACATTTGAAACTGGGTGAATCACGGTGAAGGGGCCAATGGGCCAGCATCACCCTATCAATATGTCGACTTTTGTTCAACTGTTTTATTTAATTTCATTGTTTTTTGTTTCTGTTTTTGTTTTTTGCTTTTTGGGCGAAAACTCGACCGTGCGCTACAGCAATTTATGCAATTTTCCTTGCATATATGCACATTTATATATTTATGTGTGTATATATGTATGAGTATATATATATATGATACAAATATATTTTTTAACTCTTGCCCCAGAGTTATATGTCGTTCTTTGCTACCGCGTCTGTGTGTGTGTGTGTGTAGTACCAATCGGGCTGAATACCTTTTTTTGTATTTGCAAATGGTGCATAAGCATTTTTTCATGTACGGCCAAATAAAAAATTGAGAAGGCAAATAAAAGCAGCTGGAGCCCGAAAAAATTTGAAACTATAGCAATATATGGACGAACTTTTTTCAGGGTATATTATTTGTATTCCAGATATCCTATATTCAAGGCAAAGTACTTAGAGTATATCAACTCAAGAATGGGTAGCTTCATCTTCGTCTTGCAACCAAACTAGATGATTGATAACTGAATGAACTTACTCATTTTATGCTTACGCTGATTGATTAGCTCGAATGTAATACTTTCTTTTTATAGGGTATCTGCTCGTCGAGCATTCAAGCCAAATGCTTTTCTTGTGTTTATTTTTGCATGCATATGAAGTGAGGGAAAATATTTTATGGCCGTTCACTTAGCCTCTCCAGCACTCCCGAACAGTCATCGAATTCGGATTCAACTTTTGCTCTGTGCTTGGGCTCTTTTCTCCGAATGGGTGCCAAAAGTCAACAAATAATATTTTTGCATAAAAATCGTCACTGAAATGAAAATATTCGGCTGCAGCCATGCACGTGGCATGGGCAGTCGCCGGACACTACGGAAGGGTAGGCTTAAAAGCCCGACAAAGCAAACAGGCGTTACATGTGTGCGTGTGTGTTGTCTGTGTGTGTGTCTGTGTGTGTGTGTGTGTGGCAAAGAGAAATCTCAATTTGCACAAAATTTAATCAATATATGCTTTACGACTATAGCTATTCCAGCTTCACCCCCTGCGCCGAGTTCATTGTTGGCCCAGTCTTCGGCTGCTTATAAATTTATGCATATATGCAAATAGAATTGCCAAAATTGTCATTTAATTGCACTTTAGACAGCACCAAAGGCCGCAAAATGATATGCAAAATGCAAACGGCGCTTCAGTCTGTTCAATATTAATGTCATTCATTCATGAGATCTTCAGCATCCTTGACTTGCCAGAGATCGGGTTGGAATTGTGCAATACTCTTTAAAGGCTTTAACTAGTTCAGCGTCCGGCTTAAGTTTTACGTGATAATTATGAAAGCTGTGGCATGAGCTGTGGCAGTGTGAAATAAGCTTTGTTTGGATAAAAATGAAAAGAGGAATCAACGGAAAAAGAAAATTTAATGGAACGCAGCGAATTCTAGACAAAACTTGGCACATATACAACACCCGAGAGAGAGAGAGGAAGAGGGAGGGGAGGGAGGTCGTGGCACGTACATGTGTATTTGCACAATGTGAAAGAGTAAACAAAAGGCGGCATGCAACCAATACACAAATACACGCACGCGTAAGCAAACTGCCCAACAGCCAGAAAGTATGGTTTACAAATGTGTAACAGAAACATCAACACATCCACAACAATACACACACACACTCGCACAAGAGTGGAGTGGCTGCTGTTCTGTGCTTCGTCTTGCTTGTTACTTTTACTCGCATTTCTCGCAGCGCGCACAAATCTACGCAGGAGACATTACGAGTGCGCCTGCATTTGAGACGAACAATTGGTGAATTCTCTCGCACTCTCTCTCCTCCTACTCCTGCTGTGTGCTTATCACAATTTATTATCACATATTTTCGAAAACGTTTAACCATTATCAAACCCTTGCCTAAACGACAACAGTTAAATGCAGCGCAGTTTAAGCCACTTTATCTCCAGCCCCAGCCTCGCCTTCGAATTTCGCCCTTCTAGCCTAATGTGTATCTGTGTTGGTGTGTGTTGATGTGTGTGTGTACATAAATGTGCGCCAAAAAGGCAGTCGCATTTATTTGCTAGATTTTGGATTTATTTTTTCCATTTCTGTTCTTCTTTTTTCTTTTTTCCGTAGGCCCCTGCGGCCGTTTGGCATCTCTTTTTTGTGTTAGTTTGCTTAGTGCAGGGCACTTGTTGTTGCTCTTGTTGTTGTCGACTATTTTCACTCCACTTTCGAATGTTTTTATCCCTAAAGTCTGCTTGCGGATATGCACACATACGCACTCCAATCCACACACACACACACACACACTCCCATACACACACGAATATTGAGAAAAAAGATTGTTGGAAAAACAATAAATGGCAAATGTATTGCGGCATTTTAGGCGCATGGCGTAAAACAAAAGACCTGCAAATTTTGCAAAATGCTGTTGGCCTCTGCCTATTTTCTCCCTCTCTCTGTGTGTGTGTGCTTTCAGTTTTTAGTTTTCATGCTTTGCATTTTTAGAGCAATATGGCAAATGGAATTTTTCGTGCACGTCGCGCGCTAAGCATTTAAGTGAGCCAAGTGGCTTTTTGCAAGTGGGGGCGACGATTTGCATATGGCTTTCGGTTGGAAATGGCCCGAATATACATATAAATTGTAGCGGAGTGCATCTGTAAAATACTCACTTAGATTTCCACTAGGAATGTAAACGTTGCCCGATGGCGTCCGCACCAAACACGATGGCTCAAAGTCAACGTTCAGATCATTGGGATTGTTAGCAACAGCGCCGGCAATTAAACGAGTATTATTCATACGACTCATTGTCGGATTACGTGGCGGAACATCCGGTGGTGCTGTGGGCGTGACTCCCTCCAGGAGAAAGCCTGCAAATAGTGACAGAGAAGGGCATATGTGGAGTGAGTGGCTGTGAATCGTAACTGGTGACTGTAAAAGCATTTTGATTTCTTTACGCTCTCAATCCATAAAATATTTATTGGAAGCCGAAACACGCGCAAATAAAAGGGAAATCCATAATAAATATATTTTTATTTTATATATCCTGCACAAGAAGCAAGCGACTCTGCCAGATGTGATCTAAAGCCCAGTGAGGACCCTGTGGAACAGGGTATGCTGCGAGCTGAGCAACTTCGATTAGAGTTGGTTTTTTTTATATTAAAGTTAAGTAAATTTTTAAACAATTGCAAATGGAAATTGTGGTGGGTTGCCTTCCTGCTGCCTGGCTGGCTGGCTGGCTGGCTGGCCGCCTCTTCTGCCGGGGCGTGCAATCAGTGAGCATTGAGAGCCGAAAATCAGGCAGAAATAAAAATGAAATTATTTAGCAGCATTGAAAATTCAATTTGTTGCTGGGCGGTGCCAGACAAACAGCGCCCGAGCACACACACACACACACACACACACAAATGTATACACATGGATATATAGAAATGTGTCTTCGAAATAGAGCGAATTGCCTAGCGAAAGGCAATTTGAGAATCAAAAGCAGGCCACCGCCGCCTCCCCAAGCAGGGCGCAAGAAATCGAAATAAAATTCAATTTGCCGCGCTGAAAAATTTGAATGTCGCCGACAACAACTTCCAGGAGGCAGCATCAAATGCCTTTGATAAGCACATACACATACTTAAAAACACGCACACACACAAACACAAATACGCCCCCCCTCCCACACACACACAAATATATACATTAATAAGAAGGTATTCAGCTGAGTGTGTGCGCGGTAACACTCTGTGAGGAGGCTGTGGAGTAGAGCGCGCGCCAGGATCCGTATAATAAATTTCAAAAGCATTCGCATTCAGTCGCATAGAAAATTTTAAGCTCATTTATAGGCTTAAAATGCGCGGCAATGGCAGTGAGGCGCGGCTGCGGGGTACGTAGTGTGCTAAGCAGGATTCTCGACAAATTTAAATGCCAAAAGCAAAAACAACAAAATCATAAAAAGCAAACGGCAAACGGAAGTGCCTCAGGCCAATGGTAGAAATTTCAAAATTGTTGAGATTTGCTTAGCGCGAAAATTATATCCTGCCTAGACCCAACCCCCAGTCCAGTGCCTCGCAGCTGGCGAGGCTGGGACACCATCAAGGACTGTTGACAGTGTGCCTAGTTTTCCGAGTGCCAGCATCCTTCAGCAGGACGCAGTATTGCGTTAGGCTTAGGCGATTTCGCTGCTCTCTCTGCTGCCGACAAATGACTGGAAGACCAGGCAAGTGACCAGCTCTCTGAGGCAGTGGGAAATTTAAGCTGCGGAAAATATGACACCAGCCTGGGCCGCTGCATGAATGTCCGTGGGGCTTGCGCATTATCATTCTAATGAAACGCGTCCGACTGGTCGCTCGGTCGGTCGGTCGGTCGGTCTGGCTGCGACCTCAATCGCAGGAGCTGGCGGAATACTGCCTGACTGCTGCCAGCAAAGATTATTTCACGCGGTTAAACACAGTAGCAAAGTTGGCCACAAATTTTTCAACGGCAGCCGAACAAATTCGAAATTGGCATGACTGGGAGGAGTACTCGGGCAGGTCCCATCGTCGGTCAGGGCTTTGTCGGTCAGTTGTGATTGAAGGAGGCGCGCCGAGTGGAGAGGCGGTTGGCTAAAAATATTTGAGGGCTTTTGTCTTTGGCTTGTGTGTAATTAGATTTGAGATTTAAGGCGCTTAACACTGATGAGCAGCAAATTGAAATTGCCAGCAGCTGCCAGCCGCCAGCCGCCAGCCGCGCATGGGGCGTATACGCAATGTCACAAGCACAATGCATTAAAACTAAAAAGTGTAGAAAGTTTTGGGCGCTCGGCTCGATAAAGACGGCGCTTTAATGGCAGCTGCTGTGTCAACATAATCCTAAAAAGCTGAGCATCCTGCCCCACCGCCGGGCCACAGCGATAGAATTGCATTTCAGACAAATTATTTTGCCATCAAGCGTAAAAGTTAAGCTTCACTCTTAGCATTTGCATACACAGACGATAACGTTATTTAAATACACATCCCAGAGTGGGGATCGAGCGCAGGGGTGAGTAGATTGTGGCTGCTACATGCACATTAGTTTAATATTAAACACCGAGTGGCAAAATGTCAATTGTGCTTGCTCCCTTAACTTCTGTCAGGGCTCTTGCTAGCGGTTTAGCAAAGCGGCCAAAGGGCCAGAAAAAAGAAAAAACTGATGAAGACAAAAAGAACAGCAAGCGGCAACAATGGCAACTCTGGCGGCCAAACAAAAGTTGCTGCAATGGTCGCCGCTCGCTCTGGCCGTTAGCATCCGCAGCCAGACAGGCGTAAGAGCAGCCAGGAGGAGTGAACGTGAATGCCAAGCGCTCGACTAAAGCGCATCCAGCAACGGGAACGGCAACGGCAACAACAACAGAAACAGACCAGGCAATGGCGCTGATAAGCAGCTTATCTTCATTTCTACAACCTCCAGCGTTTATTTTTGTGTGGGCGTTGTTTGTTTGTTTGTTTGTTGTTATTGCTGCTGCTGTTGTTGCCATTGTCGTTGTCATTTTGAATGCGAATTGTCGTCGTTGTCGTCATCTATGCTGTTGTTGCTGCTGCTGCTGCTGTTGTTGCTTTCTGGGTACGCAAAATGTGTAATGGCATTTCGTCAGGCGAAGCATGAAAAAGCGACAACGCACACACATACACAAGCACTCTACAAATGCCGATGTGCGGGTGTGTGTGTGTTTGTGTGTGGCAAAACAAATTTACCCCACCGCGTCTTTTTGGCTCTGTGCTGTTCCTGGAGTCGTCTCAACTGCTTGCTCTGCAGCGCTGATGGCCTTTGTGCTGGTGCAGCTTAATGCTTTTATAATGCATTCAACAACAAATGAAAATGAGCACAGCAAATGGCAAAAGTATTTACATTTGCAGCTCCTCAATACGGAGCCCCAACTCCAGTGAAGTTGGCCTCGTAGCCGCACTGCAGTTGCAAAGTCTTGAACAGCGTTTAAGGCAGCTTCGCGCCCAAAACTATATTGCGGTAATTCAATTAAGAGCATCCGAGGCTGTTCTCGCAACGCCAACCAGCCTGTGGCAGGTTAGCAACGAAAAACGACACCAGCTGCTTGCGGCATGCCAGGAATGAACAATGCAAGAGGGCGGGCCGGACATACCGATGTTTCTGCCAAGGTGCCAACAGCAAGCCAGCAAGAATAACAAAAACAATAACAACGTCATCAGCATTTTGCAGTCCGCCTTCATCTTTGCTGGCTTCATCCGTGCGTCCTGACGTGGAGAGAAATGTAAAACACTTTTGGTATGACAGCTGAAATGTCAGTTAAGCATGAATTGCCTCAGTCTCCCAGCTCTGAAGCAGCCGTAATCAAATTGTCTCTGCGCTTTTCTGTTTTCAACTGGCTTCAGGTGTGCCAGCTGGGCCTGGGCCTGGTGGGTCAGGCGAGCACCCGCTGAGCTCTTGTTGCCGACAGTTTCTTTACTTTATTTACACTTGTTGCCACGGCGGGTTAACTGCGGATTAAGTGAACCAGTTGCCGGTGTCGAGTTTATGAATGTCGACTGCAACTTGGCAATATATTTAAGTAGATGTTACGATCGAGCATGTCTATGGTCCAACTCCAAATCGACAGAAACTATGTTGGCTAAATGAAGTCGACGGGCAACACTGCGTATACGCAATGTAGCCGAGTAACTGCTGTATTTTTGCTTTGTTAGTGGCAGCTGTTGCTGATGCTGCCATTTTGTTGATAAGCAGATGTTGCAGAAATCCAAACACACACACACACACACTAATCCACCTACACACACACAATGCCAAATAAAAGCAGCCCAAGTTGACAATTATTTAGCTGCGTGTGCGTCTATGTATCCCAGTGTTTGCCTATGGTTGTTTATGTGCCATCAGTTGAATGCACCTAGTTAGAGACAGCTCTTCGCTTCGCCATCTCCCTGTGCTATGGGATCCACTATAATGCGGGCCATCTATATGCGTGCAAACGTTTGCCGTTCGCCTCTGTTTATATTTGCATACATTTGCAGCGATGCATGAGCGTTCGATTGGGTGTGAGAGGCAGTCTCCTGCTCCTGACATCACCAGCGTTGTCGAAGTCAAGCTATAGGCTAGAACCAAATGACCTGAATCTAGGTCCAAAATAATGGTTCAGCAGACCTAGATTTTGCATATACTAATATATAGTCGCATATGAAGCTGACGCCTTTAGCTTGGCAAGTTTGTGTAGTTTATTAAATGTGGTAAATGCTACTTGGCAGGCCTCTTTAATGTAGGGTCTATCCAACTATTTATGTCGCTTGTCATGTTGCTGACTCCCACAACTCATGCTCGCACCTTCAGGCGTGCGCCCTGTCCCCGTACCGTCCCCGTCCCCTTTCTCCGTCCCATTCCCATTCTCCTGCACCAGCTAATGCGGCTGTTGTTTGTCAAACTTTTGCGCTAGCCCCTCCCCCCTCGGGCGTGGAGATTTATTTAGTCCGAGTGTATGGCCACAAAACTTGGATTTACTTCGACACAATTGTCAGCTTAGTCACGTTTCGTGTTTCTCTCCTGGCGCGCGTGTGTGTATATGTCTGGGATTTGCACAAGGCGCAAGGCACACATATACACACACACACACACACACGCATAGTGAGGGTAAGTACGTTAATACTAAACACAACATATAAAGGTAAAAAGCCAAAGGCACGCGATGCGCATATTTTAGGTAAAAGTTGGTTTTTTGTTTTCTGTTTGCCTTGCTAGGGTTTTGTATGCTAGTTAGTTTCTAACTGTTATGCAAGGACTAAAGCGTATTAGTCCTTTTTGCTGCCGGCGAGCAACAAACTTTGATTCAAGCCAGTTTACATGTTGATACGTTGATGCGGCCCTAAGCCAATGCCCTACAACCCTTAAAGACTAGTTCCAGCTC